CTCTTCCAAGATGGCACCTGAATCTTCCTCTGTCTAGTGTTCTACCATTTTTCTTATTTTCAAAAACTTCTGCCTCCTACCAAGTCCTATGTCATCATTTCTTTATCTTCTTAAGATTGCTTTGATATCTATATCCTGCTTTCCTTTCATGCTAGCATTGACCTTCCAATTTTCTCAGCTAATGTTTTTCTTTGTTTGCCCTCTTTCCCTTGTCAAGCCACATACATGGCAGATCTGTGTATTCTGGTAATCTAATAGGCAATCCCAGGGTGTTTCAAATACTTTGAAAAGGAGAGCTGGAGAGATCCCCTTTGGATCTGCCAAATCCACGCACTGGCCTCTAGCACCTCAGAGAGACTGAGGCTTGTCTTGGGGGCAAGGAACACTGCTGGCCACAGCCCTGAGTTTTCAGACACCCCCAGACTGGAAAACATCCTTTGGGGAGAGGGTGGAATGGGGACATGAATTTGCTTGTTGTGGTACCTATCAGTCTGCTAAGGACAGTGAAAATACAGTCTGTCATCCTTGACGTTTTAATTGAAAGAAAAGCTTACGTAGATTTGAGCCCTAAGCAGTATGTTTGTACAAGTGTATAAAGGGGAATAATCTGTCAAGTTAGAAAACTCCTAATACAGCAGGACTCAGGTTAGTAATTGAACAATCCAATGTGAGCTCACACATCCTACCTTGTTCTGAGCCTCAATAATTTTTAGTAGAAATACTTTACCTAGAGGCATACGGTTATTAAGAAGGAGGCCCGGCTCACTCAAAGTCTGGAATTATTAGCTCATGGCAACAAGCCTGCACTAGAGGAAAAGACTGTTGGCTCTTTGTTTTCACACCTTTACTGTTGTTTTTCCATTTTATTTTCAGACTCTAATTGATGTGTTGTTTGGGAAGGTTTTTGGTTTGTTTACTTTTTTTTTAAGGAAGAAAAGAGAATTTTGCATGGATGAGTGATTTCTCTTGTTAGCAATGGTGCAATATTTTATACTTGGTGGAGAGTCCAGGGAAGAGCTGACTATCAAAGGAAATGGACCATGGATTTATTTTAGCATACGAAATCAATAATGACTTAGTCATGGGAGCTATCGAGGTGCGAGGAGGGAAGGTCTACATTGCAAGCTGAGGACAAATCCTGCTCCTGCTAATGACCCATGGGACCTTGGACAAATAGAATTGTATGAGGATTCAGTTCCCTCCCGAGTAAAATGGGAATAATATGACCCCCGTACCGCATGGCACTGCCGCAAGTCACGTGAAATGAGGTATCAAAGTGAAAGAGTTTTGAAAACATATGAAGCATTGCTCACGTGCAGTATAAAAAGTTGTATACAAGTATACCGTATTAAATAACAATAATTCTTATTTCTGTATACACAAAGGGAGACAATTAAGGCAATTATTTGGGTGCCACTCTTGCCTCAATGATAGAAATATTCTGGACAAATGATTATTTCTACAGGCCTAGCTACAGAAATAATTCCTCAGTATTGTCCTTTATTAATTTATTCATTGGCATCACTGGGATTTGAACTAAGGGTCAAACTGCTGCTCTTGGCAGGTGCTGTACCACTTCAGCCACACCTCTATCCCTTTGTGCTGTAAGCTATTTTTCAGGTAGGGTCTTTTACTTTTACTTTTTACAGCCTTGGACTGTGATTCTTCCACCAACGCCTCCTGGATAGATTGCATTACAGATTATGTATTACAATCCCAGACTTGTTTGTTAGGATGAGATCTTGCTAACTTTTTGCCTACCTGGGCCTTGAACTGCAGCCCTCCTAATCTCTGCCACTGGAGGACCTGGAATTACAGGCATGAGCCACCACACTCAGCTTTGTTTCTTTGTTTGTTTTCGCACTGTTGGGGATAGATACATGCTAGACAACTGCTCTGCCACTGAGCCACACCCCCAGCTCTGGTACTTTATATATATCATGATAACTAGGCATAGATCTTACATTTTTTTCTTTTCAATTTTTATAAGTTTAAAAGCCCAAGCAAGAAGTCTAGAAAGAATGGGGAAATAATTTATAGAATTTGTATAAAACAATAACCTCAAAATGATTAATCTCCAAACATAGAGGGATCACAAATAATCATTTTCCCTTCCAAGTATGCATTGCTAATTGGCCTGATTGCTGTCATTTGGAAACTATTACTATAATCCCAAGGGAGCCCAGAGCCCTGCACGCACTTAATTAATGAGGAAATACTTGATATTTAAAAAACTAGTGGATCTATACATGGTGTGGAAATAACTAACCTAATCAGAATTTTGGATTAAATGAAACATACCATTCTCCAACCATTGGGGTACAACTGGTAGTTTCTTTCCATCATTTAGCAAAGAATGAAACTCATTCTAAATTGAATCACTTTTGCATTTCCATCTGCATCAATATTGAGTTGTCTAATTGATTTCTTTTTTTTTTTAAGAAAAAGAGCACATCAATAAGGAATGATGACCAAGATTAATTTGAATATGTCAGGTTAGAATCAGAGTGGAAATGTTCATAGCACCTCGTCCTTTGGGCCCAAGGCTGATATTGCAAAGCCATGCAGTACAGAGAAACATTTTCAGCTGCCTTTCCTGCAGCAGTCTTTGTTTGTTCCTAGGTATCTGTATGTTAGGCTTTCCCCCGGTGACAGATGTGTGGTAAAAGGCTATGTGCATGTCTGTGTGCACGTGCACTGGTTTATTACACACATCTATTTGGATGGATGGATTCAGGAGCAATAGGCAGGTGATTAGCTGCCCTTAATGAATCTTGCTCATTAGGAAACTAAGGAGTTCAAAATTTTAATCCTGGAATTAGAAGAACTATTAGTAAGCATTATATGTTTCCCTATGCAGCTATTTTCTTGACAATAAAGTTCCCAAATAAAATGTTAAAATGGAGAATATACAACAAACATTGTCTGCTGTCTAAGCCACATTCTGTACCTATATGACTCGTGTGCTCTACTTAGAGGCAGAGAGAGAGAGAGGGAGAGAGAGAGAGAGAGTTTGAGGCCAGGGTGAGTCACAGTCTCCTATAGAACCTTGGAGCATTTGGAACTGGCAGAGTCCTCAACTGTGAAGGCTGAAGGACTTGCACAGGCCTGCTGGTCCTTATTGTCAGGGGCACTCCAGAGGCCCCAAGGGCACATGTCAGGAAATACCTAGAGCTGGTACCAGTGGCTCACATCTGTAATCCTAGCTACTCAGGAAGCAGAGATCAGGAGGATTGTGGTTCGAAGCCAGCACAGGAAAATAGCTTGAGAGACCCTATCTTTAAAAAACCCATCACAAAAATAGGCTGGTGGAGTGGCTCAAGTGGCAAAAGTGCAAGTGTGAGGCCCTGAGTTCAAAGTCTAGAACCACCAAAAAAAAAGAAAAGAAGTGCCCTAGGACTTCATTGGCCTGTCTGAAAACACTCCTTTCATGGTTTTAGGCTGATTACACCAGTCTATGTAGGTATCTATCTACTCATACCCACATTCTATTAATAAAATGGTGTGCTTTGTGTATACAGACATAACCTCTGTGGAATGGGTTATATTCTTTTATGTTTTCACATGTACACCTTGCTAAGCATATAAATCTTGACTAATTCATGACTAATCCTTCTAGGATGTGTAGAACTGTGATAGATACATTTCCAAAAGAGCTCTTGGGCAAAAAGAGTGGAAAACTTAATATTCTTAGGAATTTTAATAGCAACGTGCAGGAAGAACATGTTGGCATTCTTTCCCCAATCCCCACTTGTCCATGAGTCACTCAGGGAGGGCAAAGGGACTCCACACAGGCAGCCTCTCCCCATGCTGCCGGCCAGGGCTCTGGACTGGGCTCTGTTCCCTGGAGCATGGGAAGGCCCAGGCTGACACAGGGCATCTGTGACTGACACCTTCCTCTGTGCTTTACATGAGGGGGTCTGCTTTTTTTCTAATTTCCTTTAGAAAATGCAGTAATTCCAGAAGTGTGAGTTTCTAGTGTGACGTACTAGGATAAAGTTGTTTAACATGGAAGACTTCAGAGGTCCTGAGAGGTTTTTGTTTGTTTGTTTTGTTTTATTTGTTTGTTGGTAAGTCTTTAATTTAATAGCTTGACATTTATACAACTCCCAAGAGCAAAAGCATCAGGAGATTGAGAATTTAGCCGGGAAGGTCAATGGTTTGCCATTTTTTAATAAGCACAAATAATTCCCTTTTCCCCTCAGCTCTACATTCCCTGGCTCATTAAATTAATTTAAGGCCCTTAATTTTTTTTTTTTTTTGGCAAGTTGCAGCAAAAGCTCAAACTATGTACTCCCACGAGGAATGCTTACCCGAGGCCTGTAGGTCAGACCCAAATCAGTTTCTTGTCAAACAGCCTCACACTTCTCATTATTATGAAATGAGAAATTGGTAATGGGGGGGAGGGGGTGGGTACTTGGCCTCCCCTTGAGACAGGTTGACTTCAGTGCTATGCCCGGTGATCTGGCTGCTTTGCTTTGTGTCCTGACTTTGGTTTTATCACTCACAGCGGAAAACTATGAAAAAATCAAAATGGTTTTCTGCCAGGAGTTCATGAGTGGAGCTTGCTCTGCAAATGCAGAGTCAAAATCTGCCTTGCAGGGCAAAGCCAGGTGGGCTTCCAGGCAGAAGTGTAGGAGGGTGTGCATTAAATAAATGTCACCACATCGCCATCTCTAAGACACTAGAGGCCAAGACACATGAAGCCTTTCCTCAGAAGTGGGGTTGTCCAAGATTTGCCTGCGTGATTCTACTGAACACGCAGTCAGATACCAGGAGTCAGGAAATGAAGTGGAATTTGCTGTATTAATGAGGAAGCAGCAGAGGAAACCAGGCATGTGTTTTATTTGTTATTATTTCCCTAATATCCTCAATTACATGGCTTTCCCATCAGTGGCTCTGACCTGCTGCACTGCGAGGCTGGCATTCCCTCTGGTCCTGACTCTGGGGAACAGGCACAGGGCATCAGGAATAATGATCGTCTCTTTCTTTGTCCCCAGGCCTGTCCCAGGCTCTCTATCTTCTCTGCTACATCTTCACAACAGACAGAGACAACCCACGCCGGCTTCCATGCCAGGGACCCTGCCTAACCCCACCATGCCGGGATCTTCTGCCGTCCTGATGCCAGTAAGCATTTCTGGGGACTTGCAGGTTGTGCTCATGGGCTTCTTCTCATGAGCTGAGGCTCATGAGGAAAGAGGAGAGGAGATGCTGAGATCTGAGCTGCCCACAACGAAGGCAGCTAAGTCTGCATGGAATGCTGAGTTGGGTGCCAGTGAGGGCCCAGCGGCAGGTCGCCAGGTGTCTTCCTGTCTTTCCTGTCCTTTGGGGCTTTGCTGTGAGGAAGGGTTCCATCCATCTGCAGGTGACAAGTAAGTCTGCAACACCTAGGGAGTGGAATTTGTTCAGGGAGACCATGTTTTATAGTTGCAGTGAGCCCTCTATAGCTGCGGTTCCATATCCACAACTCAACCAACTGTGAATTCAAAATAATTTTTAAAAAATTGCATCTGCATTGAACATGTACAGACTTCTTTTTCTTGTCATTATTCACTAAACCACACAGTATAACAACTACTGACATAACATTTGCATTCGTTGGGTATCATAAGTAAGCTGGAAATGATTTAAAGGATACAGGAGATGTGCATGAGTTGTATGCAAATATGATGCCATCCTATACAGAAAACGTGAACCTCCACAAATTTTGGAATCAGGGAGAGAAGGTGTTCTAGAACTAATCCCCGTGGGTTCCAAAGGATGGCTTCACTCCAAAGTCCCCTGATTGAGGTGTACACAGTGTCCTCAAATTGCCAGTAAATGGTCTAACCAGGACTCAGAGTAATGATTAAAATAATAACACTAATAATGACCATACACAATGTCTATTATTATGTATTTATGTGTATCGTGCTCTATAAATCATGCAAGCAGCATTTACTGAGTGCTTACATATACTGCTCAATACATGAAGCAGTCCAGTGAGGTGGGACTGTGACTGTTCCCACCTCATCTTTTGAGTGGAGACAGTGTGTCAAGCAACAAACTCAGGTGAGAAGCAGAGCAGCTGAGTTTTGGACCCAGGAATTCTGGTTCCAAAGCCCATTCTTTCAACTGCTAAGTGTCTACTGATGAGATAGACACTGTTATTACATTGATTTTACAGATAGGAAGCAGAGGCACAGAGCACTCAGACACTTGGCTAAGGTCACATAGCTAGAAAGTAGGTGACAGAGTCAGGATTTGAATCCAGATAGTCTAACTCCTGAGTCTCCACTTGTAATCATTGTATTATACTGTCCCCTCTGAAAAGGAAGGAGAATGTAGAGGATAGAACCAGAGTATTGCAGAGGAAATCCATGGGACCTCCTCCCTCTCCTTCTTTCTCATCCTCCCCAGCAGTGTGCTTTGGTGAACACAGCGGGTTGTTATCCACAGGGTCACAAGAGATTTCAAAAGCCCTAGTGGTGGTATAGCAATTCTGTTAATAAAAGTCTTCCACACTAGATTAACAATGACTTGCAGAGCGTTTTAACATTTCAAGGAACTGTTAAACTATTATGACATTTTGCCCTGGAGAGCAGACAGGTGAAGGGGGTTGTTTAATGTTGTACCATATAAGATGAAGGGTTGTGGCAGGCACCCTCATCTCACCTCACCCAGAGTACCTTAGACCATCCCCAGCTGAGTGAGCTGCTCATCTCTCTCGGGGCAAGCTGGGGAATGGAGAAGGACTCATGGACTGAGTGCAGACACGTGGAGCTGACCATCACAAATACTGGGTGATGCAGGTTAGAAAAGGTCCTTACACCTTGAGCTAGAGGAGGAACAGATCACCCCAATTGACATTCCCCTTGGCACTCTCTTTTGACCTGTTTAGATAAGGGAGAATAGTACCATCAGTGCCATTACCTCTGGGTTTCTCTAACTCAACTGAGCGCGTGCAGATTCCCACCATAACCAGCCTTCACTTAGACTCTAATCCCTCTTGTCTAAAATCAGCTTCCTTTCAGAACTTTAACGCATTGTCAAGAATAAAATATACAATGCTACTATCAAGGCCATTCCTTCTGTTTGGGTTAGTGGTGGATCATTCCCAGGGACAAAGGTTGACACGTAGGTTGAAAGGGTCCAGAGAACCTGGCACCACATTCTGCTTGATCTCATCACACAATTTACCATTGATGCTTCAGGATAGAAGCAAAGATTCAAGTGCATGGTCAGGAATCAATGTAGACAAAAACTCAGGAACATGACCTTCACAAGAGTTCCAAATCTATATCCCCAATGTGTATACACCTGCTATGACAACGGGTGTCATTCTAGAGCACTGATTCTAGCTGGGGGTGATTGTGTCCCCCAAAGGAATGTTTGGTAACAGCTGGAGACACTGTTGGAGTAGAGTGAGGGAGTACTGATGTCTAGAAGGTAGAGGCCAGGGATGCTATTTAACACCCCACAATACACAAGACAGCCTCATGACACAGGGTTATCTGACCTGAAATGTCAATAGTGTTGAGTTAGAAAAGCCATGGTCTTGAGTGATGCTTGAGTGAAATTTAATATAAAATCTCTGAGGAGTATTCCAGAGTCCCATGCCCTGGAAATTCAGACCTTTTCTTCCCTAGTATCATGTCGCCATCTTCTGTGCTGTGACTTTGACATTTCAAGCATGGTCAAGGGTGACCTCTTCCCCTAGAGTCCATGGGCTTTAAAGTGGAAATTGTCCCTTGAGGTGAAGGTGAGATTCTTTTTTTTGGCACTGGGGATTATCCTTGGGGACCCTCTGCCTTTTGAGCCACGCCTTCACTCCTTTTGCTTTTGGTTGTTTTATCAGATATGGTCTAACTTTGCCAAGGCTGGCCTCAAACTGTGACCCTCCTACCTCTGCCTCCCAACTAGCTACGATTATGGGCATACAGGTGGGATTCCTAACTGCTTTGAATGCTACCAAATGATGTTTTTGTTCATTCCAGTCACCTTTATTGAGCACTCTCTATGTACCAAGGCCTGTGTTGAATACTGAGGATATAGGGAAGACTTCCCTAGGTTGTGATTTCTTATCTTGCAGGTAACATGCTTCAGTAATTTGGGAGCATGATCACACATTTGTCATTATTAAAGCTCAGCAACTTGTAAACAGTCTAGATCTTGCTTTATGGCACAGAGGGAATCCTTTATGTGGGTGTTTTTGTGTTGCTAGGGATGGAACCCAAGGCCTGAGCATGCTAGGCAAGCGCTCTACTACTGAGCTACATCCCCAGTCCTTGCCTGGGCCTTTTACCTGCAGTGCTAAGTGGTACTTGACATTCAGCAAAGCTGTTCCATCTCCTGGCCTATTAATTCTAGTCAGCTCATTAAAGTTGAGCTCATGGTGCAGAAAGGGCTTTGTAAGTGCAAATCACCAAACCCTGGTTTTGAAGAGGTGCTTACTAACACTATGTCTACGTGACAATAATCAGCAAGATGGAAAATGCAAAAATTTTTATAGAGAATCAGTCTGGTTGAAACCAGTATTTTGTGATTCACTGGGTAGAAACTGCTACAGACAAAAACTTTTCCAAAATATGGGGAGGATTGTTGACTCTGGACCCAGCAGTCACAAGCAAGCTGCTGTCACCTTTAGGTATAGCCAGTAGCTTGAGACAGTCTGGACTATCAGTCATCAAGACAAAACTCATTTAGGCTTTGATTTCCCTCCCAAAGAGGGTTCCCCATTGGAATCAGGGGTCAAATGCTATTCTACCTCTCCTACCTCTCAGTCTCTTGGAGTAGGAGTTAAAAGTAATATGCATTTTAATGAAATTTTTTAATTCTTCATGACTTAACAATTAGAGTACGTGAATGTACTTAATGTATTGAATTTAATGTACTTAATGGCACTTATAACTGGATAAAATGATAAATTTTATGTTAAGTATATTTTACCATAATTTAAAAGTGATTTGAAAAATAGAGTACCGAGGCTGCTTGGAGGTTTAGGGGGTATATGGGAGTGAACATTTTATTTTACTGAATTGTTAAGGCCTCAGAATTTTGCTGAAGTGCTCTGGAATGCATAGAAAATTCACCTTCTTTGGCACCTCTTGAAATAGTTTTCCATACCCACACCCTGCCAGATAATGGAGTAGCTAATTCAGGCTTAGGTGTCCAGTTTTCAGGAGAAAGCTTATAGCTAGTACCTCTAGAGATCCACAGACTAACATCATAATCATACCTCCATCATGGGAGGGAGATATGAAAAAGGAATCACAGTCATACGCAGTCATAGCATCTCAACAACGGAGGATTCAAGGTCATTTAGCCCAAGGATCACTCTTAAGTTTCCCTTCTGTTGGTGAGATTTCCATTCTCCACGTATTGAACCTCCACTGACAAGAAACTACCCATATTTTCCAAGACCATCTACCTAGGCTAAGTAGAGCAAACATCTGTTTTCCCCAATCCCCAACCATTGTGCTGATTTTCATTCTTAGGCAAATGGAAACACATTTGCCTTGAAGCATCTATTTTCCCCTAAAGAAAGTCTCGTTATTTTCTACATGTTCATACTAAGTGCACTTGTGTTAGCTCATTCTATGAAAAGTTAGAGTTCCACTAAACAGAAAATATTACCAGATACATCCTTCCTGGGCTGAAATAGAAAATGCATTGCATGAGTTAAACATCCCCAATCTGAAGGTTCAACACTGAAAATTTTTGAGGGTCAATGTGATGCCACAGGTGAAAAATTCCAGCCTGACATCACGTGATTAGTGGCAGTCAAATGGGAGAGCACTAAAAATACTGCATGACTATTCACAATAGCCAAGTTATGGAAACAGCCAAGATGCCCCACCACTGATGAATGGATTAAGAAAATGTGGTATCTATACACAATGGAATTTTATGCAGCCACGAAGAAGAACGAAATGTTATCATTCACTGGTAAATGGATGGAATTGGAGAACATCATTCTGAGTGAGGTTAACCTGGCCCAAAAGACCAAAAATTGTATGTTCTCCCTCATATGTGGACATTACATCAAGGGCAAACACAACAAGGGGATTGGACTATGAGCACATGATAAAAGCGAGAGCTCACAAGGAAGGGGTGAGGATAGGTAAGACACCTAAAAAATTAGCTAGCATTTGTTGCCCTTAACGCAGAGAAACTAAAGCAGATACCTTAAAAGCAACTGAGGCCAATAGGAAAAGGGGAACAGGAACTAGAGAAAAGGTGAGATCAAAAAGAATTAACCTAGAAGGTAACACCCACGCACAGGAAATCAATGTGAGTCAATGCCCTGTATAGCTATCCTTATCTCAACCAGCAAAAACCCTTGTTCCTTCCTATTATTGCTTGTACTCTCTCTACAACAAAATTAGAAATAAGGGCAAAATAGTTTCTGCTGGGTATTGAGGGGGTTGGGGGGAGAGGGAGGGGGCAGAGTGGTGGTAAGGGAGGAGGTGGTGGCAGGGGGAGAAATGAACCAAGCCTTGTATGCACATATGAATAATAATAAAAAAAATACTGCATGAAATTATCTCCAGGCTATGCATGTATGAAATATAAATGAGTTTTGTACTTAGACTTGGGTCCCAACTCCAGGATATCTCTTTATGTACTTGTAAATGCTCTAAAGTCCAAAAATGTCTGACATCCACCATGCTTAGGAGAGCATGTTGGATGAGGGACACTCATCCTGTAAATCCTGCTGCATAGGAACACCCTGAAGAGAGATGTGGCAGAACTCATTTAGGGAATGTGAATGATGCCAGCTCTAGAAGGATGGCAGGCCAGCAGAAGGATAGTGTAGGAGTAGTTGTTTGTGTGATCAAAAACTCTCAGGAAAGGCCTATCCTTGCTGTGAAGCTGAGACTGTGGCTGGGTAGACCCTTGGCTGGTTATGAGAGAGAGGAAGCTGACTTGGTGGCTCACGCCAATAATCCTGGCAAGTTTGAAGCCAGGCTAGACAATATTAATGAAACCCTATCTCAGAATGCAAACAAAAAAATAGGGAGTATGGCTCAAGTGGTACTAGAGGCCCTGGGTTCAATTTCTAGTATTAGAGAGAAAGAAAGAGAAAGAGAGAGAGAGAGTGAGAGAGAGACCCACCTGGATCATTTTGACTGTGATATTGAGCTGGAATGACAGAAAGACCCACCATATTAGACAGTGACTTTTAAAATTAATTTTGTTCATTTTTTTCTTATTGCTAAAAGATTAATGTTTATTATAAAAATTTAGGGCAAAAAAATCCTAAAATAACCTGTTGGTATATTGTGTGTGTGTGTATTTAAATTTTTAGGCACATGCTATTCCTTATGGGCATTAAAATCAGCATGATTAGTGTGAGTTGGAGTGTGTGCAAAAATGGAAATGTTCGGTAATTGTGTGGGAAATGATCTTCCATGACCATGTAGCTCTCTGGCACGGGGAATCTTCCATGAACACACAGCTTTGGATGATTCTTTGGTGTGCTTGGGTTCAAGACTCAGGACTAGGATTCAAGTCTTAGCACATTGCTTACCCTACAGCAACCCCCAGCTTTCTTCAGATAAATGCTAAACAATCCATTTGAAAGAGAAGTGCAGCTTTGTCTATGGCCTTGCCCACCTTGCCTTTCCCACACTTCTAATTCTATTGCTTTCCTTCCTCTTAGATGGAGAGGCAAATGTCAGTGAACTCCAGCATCATGGGGATGCAAGGTCCAAATCTCAGTAACCCCTGTGCTTCTCCTCAAGTCCAGCCGATGCACTCAGAAGCCAAAATGGTAAATACCAACTCCAAGCATCCTTTCATGATTTCATGAGTTTTTCTTCCGACTTCTGCTCTGACACTAGAATGTGAGTTAAGCCAGGTAGAGAACTCCGTCTTTGTCTTGGTGAATAGGTTTTTCTCTGGAAAAGCAGTTCCAGAGATATTTGTTACAGACTCTTGGCACTGATAATCATGTCCCAAGCATTGGACTGTCATGTGGTATTGATGAAAGGGATCTTTCGTTGTTTGGAGGGATCCAGAGCAGTTGGGGTGGGAGATGCCCAAGTATGTATATGTTTGTTCATAATGTGAAATAACAAAACCATTCCAGGTAGCTTCAGTGTCAATGCCACTCTTCTGATCCCAATTTTATTAAAACAGATCTTTAATTAAGCACAAACTCTTAAGGAAATACTTTGCATTTTTTTTGTTATAGTTGTCAAATATGACATTGATTTGAAAGGATGAGAGCTTTATTTTCTTTGCAACCTGAACTGAAAGGCATGGCTTCAGATGACAACCTTCAGTGACTTTTAACCTATAATGTGTGTGCCATCAGATTGGTCTTTTCAATCTCAGTGACAGATATGCACATCTATTTTCTACTATGTAATAGTAAAAGCAATGCATGGTTAGTTTTGTGACAGAAAGGGAACTTACTGGTACAATTTAGCAGTTTTTTTGAAGTTGATCATTCAGTTTTTGTAGAGTTAAATTTGGGTGCCACAATTAATAAGGTATCAGATGACTGTAAAATTCACTACAGCCAGTTTTTTCATATCTGGTACTGGATGAAGATGGTGCTCTAGCAGTTGGAAATTTATATGGTCCATTGTGGCAGTGTTAGGAACTGTGCGTAATGGTTGGTGTGAAGAAGCTATTCCCACACGGGGTTGGAGTCAGACCCAGTGACTTCCTTTTCAATGTCATCAAGAGGTGGTTTTTTTTTTTTTTTTTTTTTTTGATGCCTGCTTTGGTCACTTTCTCTTGGAAACTTCAGTCACTTGACATGCAGCTTCTTGACCAAAGATTCAACTGGATTCCCAGTGTTGGCCACCTTGAGCAAATGAAATCTGTGGTCAAGAGCGCTCTCTTTGCAGTTCCACAGCCCCGGTGATGTGCCAGATGGCACAGGCATCTACAGCAAAGCTTGTTAAATCTTTTTGGAATCGGCAAATATTTTTTCAACTCAAACCCTGCTAAGCCAAACCAAATACTTGTTGGCAGAATAAAGTTCAAACTGGCATCTGTTCTGGAGACTAAAGTAATGTCATTTACTTTCCTTTTTTTTTTTAAGAAAATAAAAAATGAACTTGGAAGATACTTAAGAAAAAACAAAATAAAGTTCTTCATAGGCTTATGAATAAGAGTAGGGTTGAGGCTGTGACCTTACGCCCCCATCCAGATGACTCCTGATTCTTCTTATTTGCTTTGGGATCTGTGTCCCTCAGTGTCCCTTCTTAGGGACCTTCCAGACTATTTTTTGAGATTCTAAAACACAATTCCAAACCATATTTTTCTGCCAATTGATTTTCACTGGATTTTATGCCACCACTTGACTTCTCTTCTTGCTGGCAAAAAAGGAAAATGCTTCCAAAGGTAGTACAGGTTTATAATTATTTATGGGTATGAAATAAATCATGTAATATGGCAAATTAGTAGTGAATAATGTTAGCTGGAAACAAAAGGGACTCGGTCTGTACTTATAAAAATAGTGTTACCCCACAAATGTTTGCTGAGTTCAATTCACTGAGCAAGCACACCACTCTGCTGATTCATGCTCTAAGTGAATAAATATTTCCAGGCCCATGATGTCTGGGCTAATTAACTCGATCACGGAGTTGGGGCTCAGGGAGCACAGCCACTTTTTCTGCTCCCAGCCCCCACCTCTACTACCCATAACCCAAAGGGAGAAAATAATAGACCTGGCCACTTATGTTTAGAATAGCATTTACTTAGTAGCTTGGAAAAATGTGAAGTAAGTGAATTTTAGAAGTCACTCAGCATCTGTGTTTGTAGTCTACTTGCTTTGTATCACTGGAGAAACTGGTTATTGCCATCTATTAACCATACAGTATTTTCTAGCAGCTTTTGGGCTGTTCAGATGAAAAGCTTTTATGAAGCACAAAGTAGTGAAGGGAAAAAAAATCTTCCATGATTTTAATGTCAGCCAGAGCCTTCCCAGGTTTCTCAGAACTATGGGCTTTGTTGTTCTATGCCTAATTTTCTTCCTGTGTAAGACTGGAATGGATTCCAGATTTCAAGTGAGACTCTTGTTTCACTGTTTTCAAGGACTTTTCCTAAGGTCACACATGGGCTATTGTGATGAATGTACTCAGCAGGCTGTGTTCTCAGAGCACAGAAGTAACCAGAGAGCTACAAGGGAGGGAGGTGTTACCCACACCACAACACTGCAGCCTGACTCTCCTGGGGACAGTGTGTCAGAGTGTTCATTTCAAACTCCCTACTGGTCCCTGATAAAAGCCATCTCCTGAATCTCTGGTGAAACTTGGAGGTCTTGGAGGCAGACAACAGTTTGAGACAGGATTGCTTTCAATGTACAACAATGTCAGAGGTGCTCTGACCAGGAATTTCCCATTAGAATGCATCTGTTTTCCTTGCCCAACATTGGTCATTTTGTTGCAGGTGAGAGCAAAATGAGTATCCTTAACAAACTCTCAAGTGCATTTATCCTAAATCAAGAAGCACACATGCTAATCTTTTGATTTAATGGGCATTAGTATCTATGTACTGTCCAAGTTACCTTTATCACAATTCTGACTGATTTTAATTTACTTTTATGGATTTTTCTTATTCTGAAGAATTAAGTCAATGGACACCTGGTTTCACACTTGTACAAGTGCACACTTATTTCAGAGCAGACACAAATTACTAAGAGCCTTCCAGCTTTCTGACCTTCCAAACTGACAGGCTCTTCTTTCAGATTCTTGACATCTGGGTGTCTTAGGTGGAAGTGGGGTCTCCTAGAAAGAAATCCAAAGGATACCTGGTAGACATTTTTAAAATTCAGAGGGGAAAGGGAAGGAAGGAGGGGGATGAGAGAAATGAGAACAGGGAAGAAGAAGGAGACAGAGAGGGTAGGGGAAGTGTAGACCACCCCAGAATATGGTCTCTGCAGTGTACAAGTGGCTCTGAAGTGTTGTGGTCATGATGTTCTCAGAGTTGTATAGATTGTGTTTATTTATTTTAGTGGGAGTTGAACCAATTCTGCCTAGCTTTGCAAAAAGTTTTTGTTTTAAAGAAATCAGTAATAAGTTTGGAAGCTGAATAAGCAGTAGAGGACTGGGAGAATTTGTCCATACACCTGTCTTGTGTCTCACTATTAATGAGGCAACTGGTATAATATGGAAACTGATTGACATGGAAGATGGTGCATGAACAGCTATTCTCAGGGGTTTTGGCTGCTCTGCCAAATACTCGCTTCAGTTTGGACAGGGTTAGTGAAGGCTAGGGAGGATTGACACTGAGAAGAAGGAGTGGATGGTTGTGATCTGATTTTGTCCTCAGACAGCACCATGAAAAAAACACTGTCCTCACTTTACAGCTGAAGGTTGAGAGGTTTAAAACCTGGCTTAATGATGTATCTCTTAGCAAAGGCTAAATTCTCAGGTTCCAGTGACACAGCTTTTGGATTACAATATTGACTCTTGTCAGTAACTATCAGACTAAATCAAATTCTTTTTAGCTTATTTATATTTATATACAAATGGAGGACAAGAATATTTTTAGACCTCCAGACAACGTAGAAAAGATGTGGAGGAGTTGGATGTTTTGAGCTTCCCCTTTGGTTTACCCAGAGCTCAATGGTCCAGCTCTGTGACCTTCTCTCCCCAAAATATTTTGTCTTGACTTTTCTTATCTTACACATATAGCCCTCATTTATTGATTGGTTCCTTGAAGAGAATCCTTACATCATGTAGGCTCCTTGAACTTGAAAGGCCCCATGAACAAGAACTGAATGCAACTAAGTTCTGTTGAGTTGAACTGAATAATGAGAAGGAACCAAGGAGAGATAGTGGGATGGAATGGGTCTGGTGTGAAGGGAGGGCTGAAGTGGAGAAGAAAACTAGACAAATTCTAAGCTAAGTGATCATCCCATAAAGAGTAGCTAACTGCATTTGATTTCTTTGAAAGATATCTAGGTATCTATGAGTAAAGTCCATCACATTTTTTTCCTTCAGAGAAAAGCAATGTGCCTGTTCCTTAGAGAACAGAAATTGAAATATCACAGCCCTCCTTGGAATTGGGAGCAATCAGTACCCAGAACTGTTCCTTCTACTGTGTTGAACTAGTTATACCATGTATTGGTATTTTTGTAATTGACCCCTCCTCTATCCTTAGACTTTGAGCTAATTGAATAAATGCATAAATATATGCATTAACGAATGACTGAAAGAAACCAAAGCACTGAAGATCAGAGACTTTTAGAGATGGGCGCTACTAAGAGAAGGCCCTGTCTGAGCATCTCTTTTCACAGGGGGACACCAGACCCAGAGGCTAAGGGAGATGAAGCAATTATTTAAACACAAAGCTGGGCCCCAAACTTGGGCCTTCATTCTTCTGTCCTGATTTTTTTTTTTTGTCAGTTGGACTGATAAATTACAAACAGTGCTTCAGTTGGCTTGTGGCTTCCTTCTCACAGACTGGCAGACAAGAAGTAGGGTAGTATAGTGAGCAATCCGTGGTTAAATATCCACTTTGTTTTGAATGTCAACCTGGGTGTGTTTGTGTTTGCCTTTTCCCTCCCTAATTATCAAGCTGGATGACTGTTTGCCTACGGTGCCCCTCGGCCACCCAGTGTCCAACAGATAAATCACAGAGAAGCCTAGCTCTGTATGGAGCTGCCTGCAAAGTTCATACTCATGAAAAGAGAGTCTCCAGGTAACATCTCTCTGACCCTCTTCAGAAATGCAGTTCCTCGATTTGCCTGGTGCTTTAATCATCACCAGCTTCATTTCCTAAAAGTGCAGGAATCAAAAGCTGTGAATGAATAGGCTGTCTGCCTTGCAGAAGCTTTGTGATCAGGCAGGAAGTGTTGTTGACTCTAAGCAAGCTCTCATTAACTTTTGAGTCATGCTAGTGGCCATGTGTCTCTGTAGCTAGTAATCAAAGCATGACGATGGACTGAACTAAGGTGACCACTATCTTCAGAATCCTCCTGCCTCACTGCTCTGAAAACCACTG